TGGACAACAGTATTAAAATTGGGAGACAAAGTTATAACATCGCCCAATGGTCAAATTACTGGAATATAGTTACCCTTTTATCCATTCCTTTTATCCATTTGTACTTAGCAAAAATGAGTTAATTTACATTAGACTTTAAAGACCCATTTGGTTAGAAATGAGCAGCCAGTGAAAAGATAAATCTCACTGTGGTTTCTCATTACTCTACCAAGTCCAGCTCCCAAAATTGCTTATCATTGGAATGTCCAAACACAAAGGGCAGATGTTTTATTTCAGTGTCATCATTTGAATAATCGGATGTCATTTTTGAGATGTGTGTGGGGCAGCCATGGATATTTGAAGGATTGGAGCAGAAAAAGAAGATATGAGTGAATCATGTTTTAAGAGTTTAAGGAATCTGTTTTGAAAATGACAGGCTCCAATGAAGTCTTGGATGGTGACTGGGGAGACCAACATCACAATTGATGCTTTGGGAGGAACTTTACTTGGAAAGGGGAGCTAGAACACTCAACTGTTGCTCCAAAGAGAGCCAGCAGCTCCAGCGGGTTGAAAAGGCCCAGAGCTCTCACTTGTTTGGTAACTAACGAGAGGAGCCAGCAGACACCTTTGCAGGCCTGGCTCCTCCAGCTAGCCTTATTTCCGATCTGAAGAATCTTCGTGGTTAGTTGAAGTTAACAAACCCGGTGTGGCGCAGCAGTCCCCTGCACAGGGCATGCATATTAAAGGCGACAATGCTTACAAATGTAAATAAGGGCAGATTGGTTAGGAACAACATTATCGCTGGGAATGTCGCACTCGCATGCATCAGCAATGAGGCAAATTGGGGGCAGCCTCAATCCTGACCACCCAAGTCGACCAGGCTTTTACACTGGCTCCTCTTCCCTTTCTTAAAACGTTACAGAAACAAGGCCAATTAGATCCTCAAAGTAATTCATCTCTGTGTATGAAAAAAGCAGACCACAGGGGAAGCGGCGGGTGGGGGGTGGGGAGATTAAGATAGCGCTTGTTAGAGCCCGGGCTGGGGATTGCGTCCTGGAACTGATGGGTAGAATTTACAGGCCGGGACCATTGTTTGAGATGCTGAAAAGTTAACCTATCAAACAGCGGGTGAGGGGGCTCAGGGCGCTGAAAACCCCGGAGAACAGTGTTCAAAACGTTTAGGAATTAAGTCAAACTGAGGAAAATGAGACCGAATGCAAGAGGCTTTGCCACTGAAATGGTACACTGGTAGCCGCAGCGGGAAGGAGAGGATATGCAAGATGCGTGCCAAGAGTATTGGGAACCGTGATGTGTACATAGCCTAGAATTTCATTTTAGAATTCCACAATGCAAGTAGCTATACTGAAATTGCTGTAAATAAAAGATTGGTAGAAAAAAACAATATTTGGGTCTAAAACGTTGCAAAGAAATTTGAAAGTGAAGACATAGCAACCTGTCTGGCTACATGGTTCCCTTCCTACACAGCACACCTCAAATATAAAAACTGACATGGGAAACTAGGGGTACCACCCCCAAGTCTTTAAAGAAATAATTTTCAGCGATAAGCACGAAATGGTTTGACTTGAGACGTGGCAGAACCATTCAGTGAAAAAAAAGCTAGATTAAATCACCATTCCAGCTTTTTGCTATTTATCAAATATAATCAAGGTAAGAATTTTGCTCAAAGATTAAACTTCCTATGATCAAGCCCAATTCTCCTGCGATATTATTTATCAATGTGCATAGTATCATTTTCACTGGACAGTGCTCGTCTTCCCTTTTGGATTTTAGCAGCACACAAAATCACGTGCTCTCTCGGAGTTCTGAGATTTGAATTTCCGCGCTGGCCGGGTACTCCATTCCTCCTCCTGATCTCGTGAATACCCCCAGACACTTCCCTTTTTGTGTCTTTATTCTACAAGACACCTTACCCCGCCCAGGGTACCGCACACATTTTGCTGGTTCCAGATTCAAGAGGCAGGGTCTCCCAGTGAAATCAGGAAGCAGAAACAGCTAGAGGGAATGTGGCAAGGCTGGGCAGGGAGGAGAGAGATCAGGAGAGGAGAGAGGGGTGAAAAAGGAAGGAGAAAGGAAAGGGAGAGGGAAAGACGGGAGGGGAAACCGCTGAAGAGGAAGGAAGAGGGCGGGGAGGGCTGGCCGACAGGCCCCCCACGGGAGCCGCGTGGGCCGACCCAGTGGCCGGCCGGCAGCTCTGCAGTCCCCCTCCGGCCGCGGCCGCGGCCGCGGGGCGGGTGAATGGGAAGAGACCCGTAGACTCAGCCATTGGCCGGCCGCGGGGAGGCCGCGCAGGCATTGGGCAACGTAAGGGGGCCGGACCGCCTTCAGGAATGTACTACGGCGCGTCCGGCACGTCCGTCCGCGCCGGCGGGGCGCGCGCCGCGCCGAGGTTCTTGGGAGCCAGCTCTGAAGATGTGGAGCCCGCTGGGCGCGAGCAGAGCGCACCGACTTCCCTACCTGCTAGACCCGGGCCGCGCCGGCGCGGGGAGTCCCGGAGCTCGAGCGCGCGCGTACCCGGACACGCGCGCACCCAATAGGCCTCCCAGCCGCCGAGCGCGCGCCGGCCCGGCCCTGGGTCACGTGGACGCGTGGGCTCCACCCCCCCGCTCCTCCTCCTTTCTCTCCATCTGGGTTTCTTTCTTTTCTTTCTTCTTCTTCTGCTGCTGCTTCTTTTTTTTCAATGAACACACACCGTGTGCATCTTAAAGCCACACGACCCTATTTCAAGGCTTCAGTCTGCTCTTTACTGCCATGGGTCCCTCTGCAGTTCAACGTTTTTTAAAAAAGAAAAAGCAAATACTAAAATGAGGCAGAATCGAGGGTTTGTGGGTCTGGACCCTATCACAGGCAGGAACTTAAGTTATAAACGTTAGAAAAATAAATTCCACTTTTCAAAAAATTATCTTTAAATAAAAGGGGGAGGTATGTGTACAGTTCAATTTGACTCGGGCCCCATGATCCCCCCTCAAAGAGTTGCGTGTTTTCTTCTTCAATGGGAAGCAAAGCCCCGGGATGTCTCGGTGACACTGGCCGCAGCGTCCGGACAAGTCCTCGCAATCAGCCCGCAATTTGTTTCGAATGAATCCAACATCAAAGCCTTTATTCTCCCCTACGTCACGCTATTATTAAGTATAACAGGATGTGTACCAGTTTTGGGGAAGTTTATAACAGACTTTAAATAAATAAGGACGTGATTAATTTTTTAAAAAGTCCAAATCCAAAATAGTTAAGGAAAACTTCTTTCTCAAGAAAACAATTTCTTTTCTCCGAGTTGTTAAAAGGTTTCTGTTGTTCCTCTGTTATATGTGTCACATGAAAGATTCAAATAAAAACGCCTCTGCCTCCATGAGAATGCTTCGGTGTCTGGATTCCACGTTTATAATACACGGCCTCCTTCAAACCAGGACTCTGTTGCCGTGGGGTTTTTTTGGCGGGGGGTGGGGGAGGAAGGGGAGGGGGAGAGGGAGAGGGAGGAATGGATTTTAAGAGAGGGTTTCTTTTTCCAACGTCCTTACTTTCCTCTTTAACTTTCCATTTTGTTTATCTTAATGCTAGGCGTTGTTCGCTGCGAGAGCCTAAGTCTTCTCTTTAGTTATAAAAGAAAAGAGGAGGGAAAAAAAAATCTGGCACATACTGGCGCACTATCCACCACCCTGTCATTATTGGTGCAGGCCTGGGAATTCAAGCCGGACCTCCCAGTATTCGCTGTAGCTTGAGGCCAAGGTGCCTCTGAAAGGGTTTTCTTTGAGGAATTTCAGAAATTGTTTAAGCGCTTAAAAAAAATATTACATTTTCCCCCGTGTCTATCGCGAGGCAAATGTTCGTGGGTGTTTGTGTGTGTGCGCGCGCTCAAAAGGCGTCTACAAAAAGAAGATACTGTTGAAAAGAAAAGGAATAAAAAAGAAAGGGAGGGGGAACATTCCTTAATGGAAGTATTGCATGCGAGAAGGTTGGCGCTCTCGGAGGCTCCCCCCGAAGCCGGGGATGCACACACTGGGGTTGCCTACCTGGGTGGTCTCTCTACTTTGGTGAGCTGTTGCTAAGCAGCTAATAATAGTCATGTTTGCTGAGTAATTTCTGCCCTCCGTGAGCCAATCGCGTCGCAGAAACCCAAGCCATCTGACAGCCCCAGGGGCGGGAGCTCCAGCCTTTTTCTCTTTCGCTCGCTCTCTCCCCCTCTACCCCCTCCCCTCCTCCTCCTCTTTCTCCAAATGGAGAGAGTTCTTTTTTTTCTTCTTCCATCTCATCTATTGAATCAAGGAGCTGCTGCGGCCGCTGCCCGCTGCACACACACAGAGCGGAGTCCCCAGGTCCCGGGAGCAAGAGAGGCGCGCTGCACGGGGACAGAATGGTCCAGCGGGTCGGCGAGGAGCACAAGAAAGCAGAGTCCGGGATCGAGCAGCCACCGCGAACCCAGCAGCCAGAGCCCGAGCAGCAGCTTCAGGAGCCGCCACCGCCAGCAGCAGCCGCTGCGGGAGCATCGGCGGCGGTGGCTGCCCCGGCCCGGCAGCGCTGAGACCCGCCGGGCACCCACGGACCCTGCGGCGGCGACTCTGGGCTTGCCCTCCGCGGCCGCTCGGGCGACCCGGGAGGCGCCGAGGGAGCCAGAGAGGCCAGCGAGAGCGGCGGGGATTTGCTGGCGTTTTCTGCAGTGAAGGGGTCGCGGCGCGGGGCGGGGGGCAGGTAGGGGGAGTTGGGGACCGCGAGAAGCGCCGCGCGAGCGCCCGAAGGACAGGCTGGCTCCGCGCGCCGGCTCTCGCCCGCCCGAGAACTGGATGTGGGCAGCGGCGGCCGCAGAGACCTCGGGACTCCCGCGCAATGTGGCAATGGAAGGCGCAGGGTCTGACTCCCCGGCAGCGGCCGTGGCCGCAGCGGCAGCAGCGCCCGCCGTGTGAGCAGCACAAGCGGCAGCAGCAGCACCAGGTCTGTCAACCGGAGCCCCAACCCGAACAGCCGGCGGCGAGCAGCGTCCTCGCGAGCTCAGCGCCGGGGCGCGCCGGGAGCCTGCAGCAGCAGCGGCGGCGGCGGCGGCGGCAGCGCGCCGGGCGGCCCGGGAAGCCTCGGTTCCCGCGGCGGCGGCGGCAACATGGCTTCGGCTGGTAACGCCGCGGAGCCCCAAGATCGCGGCGGCGGCGGCAGCTGCGGCGGAGCTCCGGGCCGTCCAGCCGGAGGCGGGAGGCGCAGACGGACCGGGGGTCTGCGCCGCCACGCCGCGCCGGACCGGGACTATCTGCACCGGCCCAGCTACTGCGATGCCGCCTTTGCTCTGGAGCAGATTTCCAAGGTGCATTTCAGACTCTCCTCCCCTCCTACTCTCTCTTCCCTCCTCTTCCTCTTTGGGATCGCCCGGCCACACACACACACACACACACACACACACACACCCCACACGCGCGCGCGCGCGCACACACACACACACACACACACACCCCTCCAGGAAAAGAAGCAGACAAGCGGGGATTGAAAAATTCAAACCCTCCCTCCGGTCCTGGGAGGAAAGGGCTGTCTGAGGTCCGCAGGGGGTGGAGGGTGTGTGTGTGTGTGTGTGTGTGTGTGTGTGTGTGTGTGTGCGCGCGCGCGGGTGCGCGTGCGCGCGCGCACACGCGCCCTCCCGGCTTGCCTTTTCCGGAGGATTGGAAAGCGGTCCACAGTGGACCACCTTGAGGGCAAGCCTCTTCGCGGCACTGCTGGGCGCCCCCTGCCTTGGAGCCCCTTCCTCCCGTGCTCCTGCCCCTATTTCCAGCCCAAACCCCTGTAATGCTGCCACATTTCTTCACCTCTTTGAGGGGGGAGGCGGAGTACAGAGAGGCGGAGAGAAGGGGGGGAGGGAGGCGAAATAAAGGTGGTTTCCTTTTTTGGCAGCCGGTTTTGCTTTTGTTGAGCATGAAATCTCTGCTCCCTTAAAAATTATCCTCGGAAGAGGGCATCTCCCCTCTTCTCTTCCAGTTTTTGATACACCTCTTCTCAGAACCTGGGGGGAAAGGAAAAGTTGTAAACAAATTGCCACCTTAAATCCGCGGTCCGGGTCTGCGGAGCGGCCGGATTCATTGTGTTTACGAGGCTCGCTGAAATGTGTGGAATCCGGGGAAGGCGAGCACCCAGACAGGGCCTATCGGGGATGCGGCCAGTGCCGGGAACACACCGCCGCCGGGAGCAACCAGCGCCTAGTCGGGACACCCGCCCGCGCCGGCCTGGGCCCTTCCTCTGTGCACTCCGCAGCTTTTTACGTTTAACCAGAAGGGAAGGGAGAGGAGGGGAAAAATCCATGTGGCTGCCCTCTTCCGATCACAAATATTGTCGTAAGTTGCAGATGGCTGCCCCACTTCCTAATTCAGCTCACACAGCATCTCCCAACGCTTGGAAATGCGTCCCGAGTAAGCTTCGGCGGCCGCGCTCACCACGTGGATTCCCTTACTACCACGCCGGGCGGGGATCAGAATGGGGAATCTTGCACTACACTGTTACCCAACCGCGCTAGCCCCCCAGCCCGCGTCCCCGTGTGGGTACCCCAAGAAAGGTGAAGTGTGGGGCAGGATTCGCGCAGAAAGGAACCGAGCTTTGCTGGTTCTTCAATGTTGGGCTTTTTCGCAGAGATTACGCAGCCCCTTCCCTATCAGGTCCGGCGTGACTGTTGCCTGTGTTGAGTGATTCTCCCCTCTCTGCCTCAGCTTCCTTTCCTCTTGTAGTCCCCTCGCCCCCCGCACGCCCCGCCAGCGCCTCGAGTTGAACTCGGGGATGCTATGCAGGCCACGCGTGGGGGCGCGCCTGCTGTAGTGAGGTTCAACTTACTTGCGGCAGCCCGACTTTGATTTATACCCAGCCCCCCCCCCCCCCCCCCCCGCCGCTCGCGTTCTCCCGTGCAGGCTGGGGTTCCAGCCTCTAGGGCATCCCCCACGGCTTTCGCGGGATCCGCTGGCGGGTGCGCGCAAGCGGGCGTGGGCGCGCGTGCCGCGACTCCCCGGCGCTCACCACTCCTTCTTTCTGCTTCGTCCTCAGGGGAAAGCTACTGGCCGGAAAGCGCCGCTGTGGCTGAGAGCGAAGTTTCAGAGACTCTTATTTAAACTGGGTTGTTACATTCAAAAAAACTGCGGCAAATTCTTGGTTGTGGGCCTCCTCATATTTGGGGCCTTCGCTGTGGGATTAAAGGCAGCTAATCTGGAGACCAACGTGGAGGAGCTGTGGGTGGAAGGTAAGAGACCCAGCGCCCGGCCTGCGCCCTCCCGACCCCCCGCCCCAGGCCACTTCTTTTCCTTCCAATTGATAAAGATATTTGCCAGCATACACCTAGAGCGTTTCGGTGGCGAGCGAAAGAAACCCTTTGCCCGCACCAGGGGGAATTGTTTATTGTTTGGGCGTCTGGCCGAGAGCCAGGCCCTCCCGACAAAGGCCGCGCTGTAATCTACTCCGGGCGCTGCGCAGTGCTAGGTGTTGTGGGAGAGAGCGGCGGGGGCGGACCGGCGGGGGCGCGGGGGGCCCCTCCGCGGGATGGACCACTGCGCTGCCGGGGGCCGCGGGGCCTGCAGCCGCCGCTGCTGCCCACCTCCGCCGCGCCCCAAGAGGCGGCTAGAGGCAGGCCTCTCCGCTCCTGGCTCTGGTCCTCGGCTTCCGTCCTCCCCCACCCCACCCACCAAGTCCAAAGAGAAAAGGAGGGGGGCGCCGAGAAAGGCCACCCCTCCGGCTCGAGGGAGTGTGCGCGCCCCCGGCGGCCGCAGCCGCAGCCGCCGTGCTGGGGAGGGTGGGGGCGGGAGCAGCGCGGGCCTGCGGAGGCGGCGGCGTGTGTGGTCCTGTTTTTGGACAGCTTTCAGCTCTGGGGGAAAAAAACATTTGTCTCAAGGTACCAAAAAAAAAAAAAAAAAAAGGGCGAGGAGGTTGGGGGAAGGAGTTGGGGGGGGGGAGAAAAACCTGTAAAGCACGGAGTGGAACGCATGTTCACAAAGTAGATTAATGTTTCCTCGGGGGTGGGGGCTTTTAAAATGGAATTATTCTAAGGGGAAGGCTGCGTTTTACAGGCTGAAAGAAGAAATGTGTTTTAAGAACGCGTGTTTGGAGCGAGGGGCTACAGGAGCTCTCCAAGGGGTTCTGCCAGTCTTTTAACTGCATTCCTCAATGGTGGGGGGCGGGCGGGGGGGCCCCTGAAGCCTTTTTAAGCAAGTTGTAAACTTAAAATAGATTCCCCCGTTCCCACACCGAAACATTTTACATTCTTTTGGTGATACAGATTTTTGGTTTTTTGTTTGTTTCTGTTTTTTAAAATTCTTTTTGGAAAGTGAGTCTTGATATTTGGAAACATTTTAACCCCTAACACTGCCTTGGCTGGCTTCTTACACTGGGATGGGAGGGAGGGATTGAGGTAATGATGTAGCTATTTCAAACGAGAATATGTGGAGCATTCCTAGCGATTGCTACCTAAGGCAAAATTTAGAAGCCTCAGTTACATGCGTAATTGCTCCCTTTCAGAATGCTGTTGGAAAACTAACCTTTGGAGAATATTTTGTTTGAAAAGATTGAGCCTTCAGTGTTTTGGAAGCATATGGTGAAATCTTTAGTTGAGAGAAGTGACAACTAAAGTAATAGTCCAAATAATTAAGACCAGAAAACATTCTTGCCTTAAGTAGCTTGGTAATTAATACAGAAGTGTTATTTGGATTGAATCCATGGGGTAATTTATCTCAGTGCAACACTTCAATGTCATTGGTAGATAAAAGAAGGGATTTATTGACCATACATGATGTTTTAGCAACAAGTTTACGGAGTACCTGTAACATCCCTAGCTCTGTGCTAGGCATTGTAAGGGACACTGAAGCATGTGAAGCACTCCTGAGCACAAATTCATGCCTTTTAAAACTACTGAAGTGGGCGGTGAAAGTAAAATGAAAAAGAAACAAAACAAAACACAACTTTCATGGAGGTAGTGAGGCAAATTAGGGCGAGTTGGAGAAAGGGGAAAGAAGGAGGGAATTCTAAGCAGCAGCTCAGAAAAGGTTCAGGCAAAGACCCAAACTGAGTGGACAGTTGGCAGTGGCGACCCCTCCAGGATGAGGGGAATAGGGTGCAATAGCTCAGGTGGGCCCTGGACATCAGGGCTGTAGTTCGAACATGTGATTGGCTAGACTGTGGGACCTATCACATGTTCTAGGACAGAGCAAGGGATGTAATGAGCAGAGGGGCCCCCAGCTCTGTCCACATGTTCACTTTCCAACATGTGAGCCAAAAAATTTGTTGGTTGTTGGTGACGGAAGATCACTTTTTGTTGTTTTGGGGAAGACTTTTAGGTAGACCTTTAATGGGTTTACAGAGAAATAATGTAATTTTATTTTAACATTGTATATTTCTAGAAGCAACTGTGTTTCTGCATTACTGCATTTTAGTTCCTGGAAGGAGGAGCAAGGTGCTTAGTAGGGTTTCCCCAGGCTCCACCTTAGTGAGAGAGTGTTAGGGACTAACACACCTGAGATGAGTCTCATTTTACCTACTTTTGGCCTCTGAGCCGTTTTCTCTTCCCTTTCTGTTTTGGCAATTTCGTGTGACCCACTGACATTTCAGCCAAATATTATCTACTCAGTACTTATTGAGCAACTACTATTACCATTTATCATTATCAGATGCCTTCCAACTCAGTAAAGTAGCTACCGTTATTATCTTTATTTTTGTTACATGATAGCTTTTATAATGTTTTATATATAAAATAACTGGATTATTGTCCTTTTTTATATGAGAGACTATGGAATCTCCATGTCAATATGACCACTCTACCTACTGACTTCAGTCTGTGATTTTCAACCCTTTTCATCTAGAGGCTCACATATACTAAAATTCTGCAGAACACCAAAAATATATCTTTTGCCAGTCTGACAAAAAAAAATAGGTATAATTTTGATTGATTTACAAAAAAATAATAATGGTAATTACTCTTTTTGCTCCAAAGTGACATTTTAAAAAATCAGGTGTCTATACTTGTACAGTATATAAGGATTTCTGGCACCAAGGATTAACTAATCAGATGCAATCTTATTATGTGATGTGACCAATAAGATGCAACATATCACCTATATATTTACAGTTCAAGACAGGCCATTCACACCAACAGCTATGCTGTGTTGGTTGTTGTCCTTTTTTTTTTTTGAATTTGACAGTCTAAGGGAAAAGAAGTCGGTGCCCCTTACTAAATAGTCAGAAATTGCATGTTTTAAAAATTCTTGCAGCACACTGGTTGAAAATCATTGACTTAAGTCATCTTGGTCTCCTGTTGCCTTGACCTCCGTTTGACATTCATTCACTCATTCACTCTATACTAGACTTTTCCCCTGTAGAAAAAGCAGCAGCTTGATAAATGCAAGGAAACTCAACCAAGGAGGCCACCATACCATTTTATAATTTTAATTTAAATTCAAAGTACAGGTCTTGTGTATGATACAGTGAGTTTACTGTTCATGTCAGCAGTAAATAGTGTGAGAATTTGATTTCAGGAATAAGAATTTTCTTCTGTTTTATACTGTAGTACAGGCAAATGAGTAACAAACTCAGAAATTAGGTTAATTTTGAACTTTAATCTCTTAAACTCCTCAGCACTATCAGCAAAGTAGTCTTGTTAGATAGTGATTTCTTAAGAGGGGCTGTAAAAGTTCTGGGTACAAACAGGGTACCTGCTACTACACTAAATACAGCAAACGATAGGGGTTGCATATTTCCCTGGTTAAAAAGCAACAGAAGAAAAGAAAGCGTAAGAGATTTTATGGGAAGAGGAATGCTGAGGGACAGTTCGGTAAGTGCTATTTTTCCTGACTTTAAAAAAATGTCATGTATGCATACACAGATGTATACATACCCACAGGCAACTGGAGGTATGTACATGTATGCACACAAATACATACATATACAGGGGTCGGCAAAAGTAGGTTTACAGTTGTCCATATGGAAAAAGACATGCAAGTTATGATTATTACAATAGCTTTATTAATTCAAAAGAGTGGCACAGTGCACTTATATACAAATCTCGTAAGTGCTCAAATTGCTGACCTTCATTATTTACACTTTCTGGTAGTCTTTGAAAATCAGTATACCTGAATTTCAGGGACCTGCTTGAGTTAGCCTCCTGAGGTAGTTGAATTCAAACTTACTTTTGCCCAACCCTGTGGACAGTTAGATAGATAGGTGATTGATTGATAGATCGATCGATCAATCTCCACTTGCCTTTGTGTTTGTGTATGTACATAGACTAACTACATGCATCCTCATATCTGCCAAAATAATGTTATCTTTTTAATGTAACCAGCAAATTAAAGGTATCCTTTGATTTAAATTTCATGCCTTTTTTAACATGCTACAATGTGCTGACCAGTATGAGCTAGATAAGGAAGATTGTCTCATTATTTATGGAATTGGTGATAAGAATTTTTTTATTCTGTTGTTAAAATGTTCAATGATTGACTTTTAAGAAACTGTAAATATACTTTAGATGTTACCTTGAGTCTTAGGTCAAGTTAAAAACGTCAAATCTAGCTCACTTGTAAATGGAGTTTGGTAAAAGAATGACGTAGTGGACATCTGCCGTTACTGGAACATGTGCCAGTGCCAGCAAGGTCCAGGGAGAGACTAATTGTTATTTCAAAATAGAAATATTCATTGAGCACATATTCTCAGTGCCTGCTCTGTTCTAGGCACTGCTCAAACGGCCAGAGAGACAGTGAAAGGCCACAGTCCCTGGCCTCAGGGTGCCTCCACCCAGCAGGCATACAGACCAGTGGCAGGACAGCCCCAAGGGAAGGGAGGCCTGAGCCAAGCACAGGGGCTGGAGAGTTAGGGGTCCTGGGGCATTGCAGGCTGAAGGACCAGGAGGAACAAAGGCTTAGGGGACAGGGGCGTATTCTCCAAGAGAACTCTCAGTGCTTGCCTTTGGTTAGAACATCAAGTGTGAAGTGAGAGCCTTAAGTCTTGAAGGTCCAGCCACACAGCAGGAAGGTCTTCAATGTGTGTAGGGCTTTGGTGGGGGGGCTGCCAGCTCTTTTTTTTTTTTTTTTTTTTAAGCCAATCTTGACTTGTCTCATGGTTTGCCACTAATTTTGTCCTCTGGTGCCCTCCCTGGTACCAGAGTACTTTGCCTGGATCTTATCCTTCTGGCACAGAAAGGAAGTGCTTTCTTTTTAGTCTTGCCCATTTCTCTGTTGGCTTTTGTTTTTGCTTAGCAATTTT